TCAGTGTGCTGCCATGTAACTTTAGTTTCTTGAATTCCTTCATACCTATGGGTAAAACAACTGCCTGATCAGGCCCAGAGTGACACCCCTCTTCAAATTCTTCAGTGAAATACTCACTGACCATTTCAGTGACTCCTGCTTTTTCTAATTAAAAAAAAAAAAAAGCTGTTTGCCACAATTTGTAGTCCGTAGAAATTAATCTAATAAATATTTCCAGATTACACTTAATTGATGAAATAATCTTGGATTTAATCTTGTCTTTCATGACATGCTACACCTCTATTTTTAACACAGCCATTAAAAAATGTCTTAACACCACAGAGAAGTAGAGATACCAACACATTAAGTGAAATGGTATTAAGTACAAGGATGTGCTAAAAGAAATGTAAATCAGCAAACAATGATAATTTTTCCAGACTTGCCACATCAATACATCCTTTTCATTCTTGACAAGTCCCCAAAGTCCAGATTTATAACAGCTGCACCTACATTACAGGCTCAAGGATTTCCTCCTTCTTTTCTGACAGATCTTCTTTCTTTCCTTTTGGCATACACTCTGACTACCAGTGTTTTTTTTGTTTTTTTTTTTTTTTAATATTGCAGACAGCTTCTAAAAAGTTTTAGCTATAAATTACTCCTAATGTATCCAGGCTACTACATGGGCAACTTTTACTTTAAAGTGAAACTTCCTCTGCCTACAATTTTACCACCACAGGAATTCAGATACAAACATGAAAGCATTAAGTGACATTATCAAAGAACAGCTGAATGCATTAAAATACACAAATGTGAACAGAAAAGTTGCACTTACTTCATGTTTCCATGTTTTGTCCAGTAGTGCAAAGGTAGTAAAGTCTCTTGGAGCACAGAAGTATTTGCATTCTGGACTGGGGCCATCAGGAGAGCTTCTGATCTGCTCAATGTCTTTATCAACCAGTCCCAGAATCAAAGGATCAATCAAATACACTGGAATATTGTGACTGGATATTAATCCTAGGAACTTCCTAACCACGTGCTGTTTGACAGTGGACAGAAACACCAACTTTGCATTAAAAATCTTTGACAGAAAGAAACCCCAACCCACTGAAAGAAGGAAATCTTATCTACCAATACATCCTCTGAGTTACACTTCACTTCCATAAACAGTTGTGAGACTGAGTGAGAAGGTAGGATGCAACTGCCACATAGAATTTAGATTCTGGTCTACCCAGGGCACTCAACATAGCACAAGGAGTTAAAAGCTGCAACAAGAAGGTTCTGTGCCTGATGCAAGGGGTTATTAACTTGATTCAGTGGAGAACATTAATCAAGCACATTTAAACATCCATGGCACACAGAACCCATTTACAACAGTTACAGCCACCCTGCTACTTAAATGTATTCAACTGTAACATTTTCATTTCAGAGATTTTTAAGCTCTGGCTTCAGAGAACACGATGGGATGTGGGTCAACAACAGAGTTTTGGCAGCAGCATTATCTGTCTGGTACAGGCAGAAACAAGGCCACCCTCACAGTGATTTCAGCTACACGGAGCTGAAAGGTAAGTGATGTGCTCATATTACTTCTGTGACTAAAACTGGCATACCAGAATGATGAACAGGAAAAAGTCTCTGCAAAAGTATCTACTTTCCCAACCCATGATTACTCCAGGAAAATAGATGCTTACAGCTGAAACTTATTTAAGTTTAGAAAAACATAAATAAGGGTAGAAAAACATGAATCTTGATGTTACATCATCAAGAAACACGTTCAAATTTAGTATTTTGAACACACCACTGCAGGGAATCTGTGGAAAGTCTGGAGAGCAGTAGGCCCCTGGCAGGGTCATGGAGCATCTTTTATCACTAAAGATCTCAGAAGAGCAAGTTCAACTTTCAGGAGAGCTCTGCCTTGAGTGGAAGCCCCCTGTGTCTGTGACACCTCACATCTGGTAGGAAGCTCCAAGGGGTGTCACCTCCAAGAATAGCAAAGCATTCCTGGCACAAGCAAGCAGTCCACAGAGCAGTTGGTTTGGATTTTTTCCAGGGATAGCTCTTAGCCAGAGCACCTTCCCTCTTGCTCAGCAGAAACCAAGCCTTTAAATGGCCATCCTGTTAATTAGCAACATTATCATGTTGCATCCAAACCGAAAGGCAGCCAGCTCCCAGCACATCCTTCTCCTTAACCATCTGTGCTGTTTTTCCACTGGGAGATCCATTAACAAAAAGCCTTCTGTAAAACTGTTTCCAAACAAATCCTAACTACAAATATGATAGGGGACCTTCTGATTCCCCAGGGTGGGTGTTTTGGTTGCATTCAATCTTGCAGGCCTGAAGCAAGACACAACAAATATCCCATTTCAAGCACCTAACAGCACTCCCAGCCCTGGTCATGAGGGTTGGAATGCAGCAGCTGGTGAATGCTGAAATGCGACATTTCCCTGCTTGGGAAGAACTTTACAACCTAGCACAAGCAGATAACAGAACAGTGGCCAGCAGGTTAAACGCCTGGAGTGGGCAAAGGAGGATTGTGTGACCCAGGACCTTCTCAGACCAACAAAGAAGCTGCACGGCAAACCAGTCAATCTGTTCAACTCCCAGCCTGAAAGGACACAAAACCCTGGATCAACACTTCTGTCTCAGAAAGTGTTGCTTCCTGAAACATTAACAACACATCTGAGCACTGCATTGGCAAGGGCTGTGAAGCTGTAACTGTTTCTCAATTTTACTTCGCACTGATGTTTTGATACTCCTTTTACTGAGCAAAGTTACCAAGTGTATCTCTTCATCCTTCAGAGAGCGCCCAGTGAAGAGTGACGAGAACTGGACCCTGAATTTGCAGTTCAAAATGAGTTCTGAGACTTGTGGAAGGGCTGTGTGAATCACTGTACATACCCATCTAGTGCTGTCTTGGCCTGACTGGCTTCCTCTGACTTTGGAAAAGGCTGCGCCATTCTATCAAAACAAAACAAAACAAAACGAATGGGAAGAGGAGGGAGAAAGAAGAGAAAAAAACCCCAAAGTTCCAGTTGAATCCTTGTTTTCTTAACATGACATTCAGGGGCATTTATCCACTTTATGGTTATGGCTGGGGTTATGCCTCTGGTCACTCAGCTACAGCACTGAATGTGAAATCATAAACAACTGCTGTGTCTTAAGTATATTTAGAAGGACAACCCAAGCCTCAGGGACCTCCAGACATGCAGGGATTGAGTGGTGAGGCCTCGGGTTTCCAAGCCAATGTGCCAGCAAATGTAAAACAGGAGGATGACAAACCATGTCAGGCAAATACCACAGGGGCAAATACAGCAGGACTGCCCCTCAGTCTTTCCAGGAGTAATCCTAGACAATTCAATTTTAAAGACAGCATATTCACGTGAGAGAGTCAAGGCAGCTCGTGGCTCAGCTTTTGGCTTCTCAAAAGCACAAAGAATTTCTCAGTTGTTGTTTAAAAATCAGAAACAATGAGAAAGAAGCTGAAGGTTGCAGCAGCACCTGCCACTGACACTGCCTCCAATCAATAAGGAAAGAAAAGCCAGAAAACAAGTCAGGGCACTTTGAAACCCACACGGTTCTTCTGTAAAAATAAAAAGAGTTCCTTTGTTGAATCGGAGTTGCAACAATAAACTATGAAGCCACCAGAGAATTTAATTTGCAGTAACATTCACTTCTTTTGCTGCTACAGAAAATCATTCGCCTGGACATTCCAGATCAGGTATAAAAAGAGGTACAAACAGCATTCTAGGTGTAAAAGTAGGATTTAAAGTGTGACATCCAGCAATTTAGGAGCACTGAGTCACAAAGCTGTAAGACGACTGCAGAAAAAGTTGGGATTTCACTCCGCCACACCAGTGATGGAAATCCTGCATCCAGCAGGTGCTGCCTCCCTTCAGCAGAGCTCTCAGACAGCGCTCGGTGGCAACTTCGGTGTAATAAGTCACCGAGCAACGAGAGCTGAGGGTTAAGAGCCGTGGCGGCTCGAAGCTGGCGGGGGCATCATTCCCTGCGGGAGAAATCGGATGGCCCTGATTGACACAGTGACTTGGATGACAGGCTGGGAATTCAAATCCGACTGTACCCGTGCCACCGGACACCCGGCTGGGCTCCCTGCCCACCCTGCAGGCGCTCCGAGCCGCCCCAGGGAATTCCGGGGGCGGGATTAGCTTAACGCCCACACAGCGCTCCGCAGGGAAACGCGCTCCCCCTCTCACCTTCTGCGACAGGTAGAACTTGTAATAGCACAGCTGGAAGAGCAGGAAAACCAGGCTGGTCAGCGACAGGAGCGCCAGGACCACGTTCCTGTTGATTTTCTGCATCAGCCCCGGGGCGCTCCGGGAGCCACTGCCCGGCCGCCCTTACCGCGATGCGGCTTCAGGCCGGAAAGCGCCGCCGCAAAGCGCCGCCCGC